TACATGCATCAACCAAGACAGCTTAACCTGAACACCTGATCCCTCAAGTAGTTGCCTCTTATATTGAGCATTTGCTGCTGCTGACCAATTCCAAAACAGATCTTCATGGATCTTGCATAAAACAATAGCACCAAGTTTAAAATATTACTTTTATAATAATCATCTGAATAGGTCAGTGTTAAGTTTTTGCTTGGCACCATGTTTTGTTCACAAGGGCATTCTTTGGTTAGTCTTGGGGTTGATGGGTTGTATATGCATGTTCATCAAGTTGTGTTTTGCATCAGAACCAGAAACGGATTAATGCAGCACTTTGAATTCACAATGACATTTAGAAAGTGGTCAAACGATATTTAAAAATTACACTTTCTCAGTTTAGTACAGATTTGCAGAGTCATCCACCTAATGGCCAGTATGCAACAGCAGTGACCCAACCCACTAAACCACCACAACAATTGGTAGTCTAGGGATCACATACTCTGTGTACCCTATGACAAGTAAATTGGCATTATTCCCATGGGTAAAAGATATGAATACACAATGTCTTTTCAAAAGAGGTCAAATGGAACCTTTATTGGGAGTACGCTTTCCCCTCAGCCACAGTGGTAGAGGGAGTTGGATGTGCTGGTGATTAGCTGCCTGACTCTGACATTCTGTATGTTCAATCCTGGATGCTTACTCCAGCCATAAAAATACTAGAATCTGTAATTTTACTAATGAAGAGAAATCCAACATATACAAATACAATACACCAAATGTTATCTGAATAGAAAAAAAACACCACAGGTCATGTTGCATATAATTCCCCGGTGAACCACTTCATCAGTGTCTATAGTTATTGACCTTATGATGTGTACTCACTTGCAGCTGCATCAGCATCTGGTTTCCATGTAGATTGTTGCTATGACATCAGCACATTGTTCTGAAATAACGCTAACCACCTCTGTGAATGCTGGACAAGGCTGCTTCCCTTTATCTATCGAACAAATGAGTGAGTGAGTTCAGTTTTACACCACTCATTAGCAATATTCCAGCAATATCAAGGTGGGTATACCAGAAATGTGTTTCGCCACATTGTACTCATGCGCGAGAATTGAACCCAGATCTTCCGCTGCGGATGAGCAAACACTTTAACCATAAGGCTAGTCCACCTTCCCACAATGGAGGTGAGGTGAAATTGGGGTTTAACGTCGTAGGTTTGAGAATATTTCACTTATATGACGACGACGCATGATGTGTATAAAGCGGCTGCTTGTACTAGCCCAGACTGAAGCTGGTTTTATAGTGCTAGCCCGCTGAGAAACCATGCCGCAGTGAAGCTATGAATACCCGACTCAGACACATTATACTGACTCCTCGAATGACCAGTCCTTGATGTACCCATTAATGCCGAAAGCACCAGCCCACAATGGAACAAGGACAGAAAGGTAAGCAAAGGTTGTAGACGTGCACATCCTAATTTAAGTGAAAATCCTTAATATGCAAGGGATATTCCTTTTAATAGCCTCTTTATCAATAAACAAACATATTGGTTAACAAGTTTTACTATAATGCTAGGTTTTATCTGGAGTTTCATATGAATTAAGTGCTCTTGGCAAATTGGGAATTTAAATAAAATATATTTATTGTAAAATTGATTTTAATATGCAAGGGATATTCCTTTAGTAGCTTTTATTAATAAAACAAACATACTGGTTAACTAGTTTTTTAGCTATAATGCTAGGATTTATTTGAAGTTTCATATGAATTGAGTGCACTTGGAAAATTTGGAATTTAAATAATAATATTTATTGTAAAACTGATTTAAAAGTATGCAGTGCCTTCTCTTATCTATATTAAGTTACATACATCATCCCACAAGAGCAAAAATTGGTAACAAATGTTGGCAAAATTTCACATCTTTAAAGGATGACCAGTATGTTAGGAACATACATTTATTGGAATCTTTAAGATAAACGAGCTTGTAGTGCTTTACTTTAAATGTAACAGACAAAACCAACCATGTGAAAAATATTGTTAAAACAAGTGTTCCCAAATTGTTTGTGTTTGATTATGAGAAATTATGATTGATTGCTTGGTCGCTTAGTCACTACGACCAATCTTCTCGATTATTCTCAATTAATTGACCACCACTAGTGTTAACTCCAACCTGTTTTGAAGCATTTCTTTCAGGAAGCTTGGTCTTCGTGGAGAATCTTGTTCTTGTACTGTAACGACTTTGTCCTTGACATCCCGTATGACACACTCAAAGTCCCCACCATTGATGTGACAAAAGATTTCACACCTTGATACACACAGTTACTGAGGCCATCCAGCATGCTGAAAACATGACAATAATTCTCTTGTCACCGCTGGCCAGTTCCAGGATTTCCTATAACAATTAGGAACATTACACAATTTTAAGGCATTTCCTAATATCATTTCTTTCAGGTCAGATACCCTAAGTTAAGATTTTACCGTGTATGGTATCTTCAGTATATGGTAATTTCAAATATCGACTTTCACAGTGTGTTTACTTATGTAATTTACTGACCAACCAAGAACTTGGCTGGAGGAGTGAGTGAGTTTGCTTTTACCCGCTTTTAGCCAAATTCCAGCAATATCATGATGGGGGGACACCAGAAACAGCTTCACACATTTCCACCGATGTGAGGAATCGAACCCGCATCTTGTGGGCTTTGATGAGTGAATGCTTTAACCACTGGGCTACCCCACTGTTCCTAACTTGGTTGTCCTGAACACACACCTTCATGATATTGTAGAAACCATTTGTTTGGGACTTTTGATTGATTTCACAACAAGCTTAAGACTTGAGAATCATTCTCCCACAAGATAACTTACTTTGCAGTCTCCTTGTGGTCTCATTAGACTGTACTTTTTTCAGATATTCTGACAGTCAAAATGAGCAATGTAGTTGACAGCATTGCCGTCCAAGCACATCTTATCTGCTCTGGTGGGTGCAAAGTTGATATTTTTCACCTGACCATTGTCATCTGCAATAAAACCCAAGAACAAAACAATGTCAAAACACTTCGGCCACAAATAACAGAATGTTTTGATTCCCCTACAGCTACCCTCTTCCTCACAACCAAACGCTTAATCTGAAGATCCTGGTTAGAATTGGTCTTCAGTAACCCATACTTGTCGTGAAGAGGCAACTAACGGATCGGGTGGTCAGGCTGCTTGACTTGGTTGATTACATGTCATCATATCCTAATTGTGTAGATTGATGCTCATGCTGTTGATCACTGGATTGTCTGGGTCCAGACTCGATTATTTACAAAACCGCCTCCATATAGCTGGAATATTGGTTGAGTGCGTGCCAAACAGCCAGCCAACCAACCACAACCAAACATCATGACTCACACCACTTCATTGACCCTATGTTTCTACACCTAAGTCAGTGAATGAGTTGAGCAAGTTTAGTTTTACACCACACTAGTATAGGGCTTGTAAGTCCCACAAGGCTTACTTCCAGTACTAAACTGGTTCCAGGTTCCCTTCAGGTGCTTCAACTTGAAATATGTGAGACGGTGCCCCGCTTATTTCTGGTACCAGATTTCCAGTGACATGTGTATATTCAAGAACTAGTTCTGGTTCCAAATTGCACGTCCGCCAAATATCCCTTTACTAGACCGAACCAAGTGTACAAAATCCAGTAGTTCTCGCTGATGTTGACCATCGTGAATGGTTACCTAATTTGGGAGAGCTAGGTCAGAAATTTGCATCAATTCCCTTACTGTCAACTGACAACCATGAGACCATTCGGAAAAGGTATGAAACGCTGTTTGTCACCGAAGTACTAAGGTCTCGCAAAGTGCAGTGACCAACGTACAGTACAGGCCCTATTAACTTCACTAGTACCCAATTTCATCACATTTTGAAAGAAAATGACGAAAAGCAAAATTGTCACCAAGGATGTACTCCGCACATTTGATGTGAGAGCTGCCATGCTGGGCTTCACGCCTCAGAGATGTAGTACTTTCGAGCTTTAGACACATGGTATGGGTGGCAGTTCTTCCTGAAGAAGTCCACCATGAACTTCAGGCAGCTCACATAGAACTCATAGGGCTGAAACAAGACATGCATGTCAATAAAAGGCTGCTTTTACTTATGCTGTTTCTGAAAATAGTCAAATTACCACACGCCAGAATCTGTCACATCATAACACAACAAGTATCCATGGACAAAGGAGAATAAAGAAACAACTGATTCTTAGACATTTATCTTACCTACAGTCCGCTTTGAGTCAGAAACGGACCGATGAATTGCAAATTTTATCATTGTACAAAATTGCCACATAAATATAAATAGTACACATGTTTATCGCATTACTAATACCTAACAGCTTCTTTATATTTGAAAATTTTCCGACTCCACCAAAATAGTTCTTTAAGAAACTATCATTAAAATTTTGACACAGTTCACTATTTGTTACGAGGGGAGGAGTGCAGAGGGAAAGCCAGGTGTTAGAGGTGAGGTGAGGTAAAATTGGGTTTTACGTCGTGACTTGAGAATATTTCGCCATATGACGACATCGCATGCGTGTGTGTATGTGTAAAATTACATGTAAAATTTCATTGACAATTTCCTTGTCAACCCTACCAGAAGGGTGACAACTGGAAAAGGTATTACCCGCTGCCACGTAACTGCCAAACTCTCCGCCGAAACAGCAGTGTCATCCCTCGCCTACGGGTGACACTGGTGACACTATTACCGCCAAGGGAAGCATACAACTTATATTGTCATCAGCATTCTGTTTTCCAGGTCTTTAGAACTTACTTGCAATAGTCGGATTCCTTGGTTGCCATTTCCACAAACTTGTCATAATGGCACTACAGTGAGACGCTACATCCATAACTGCCGATTCACATGGTGTAGGCTTGTAAACTGGTTCAAAATCAAGTTTTTCTTCATCAATTTCTAAATCACTTGCAGGTTCCTTTGTCTGCTATTCTTAATCTCTTTCCTTCATGCGCAGAACCCCTCTTTGAAAACCTCTATCAGTCTTGATGGTTGTTGAATGACGCACTCAGGATATCTGGTTCCAATTTATCCTGGGTACGGGTTGAAGATGATGACGAAATCACCCTGATACTTCCCTGACTGTTGACATAAAAGTTTATTTATATAATTATACAAATAGTTTCAATACAACAGTGTTTATGTCTTAAATTGAAAGGTCTCAGACTAAGATTTCAAAACGAAAACAAAAATATTAAAAATGTTGTGTTTGATTTAGCTGAAGCAGTCTGTGACCAAATCATGACATAATCTAAAGACTTTAAAGGAAATGTAAAGTTCCTAATAATACCAATATTAGATATCAGATATCTGAACTGATTTTACGAAACATTCAAGCTTAGAATCATGAACACACCATCGCACACAGATAAAATGCCCATAGTGGTTCAATACAAGACGAGAAATGTGTGTGAGTTTAGTTTTACACCGCTTTTAGCAATATTCCAGCAATATCACGGCAGGGGACACTAGAAAGGGGCCTCACACATTGTATCCATGTGGGGAATCAACCTTCCTTTTACTACTAGGCTACCCCCACCGGTCCCCTGTAAATAAGATAGAGCAATGGCACTGTAGCCCATCTTAGATATTTAGGTGAAAAATGTCAATGGTTTGAAAAAATAGAAGACGCTGAGAAGTTGTCAGCACTGATATTCAATATGACCCTGCTCTGACACTAAAACCTAAAACTAAAATTCAGTGCATTGTTTGTCTGTTATTTAGCACCACACTCCAGCAACATCAAGCAATAGTACAGCGGTTTGTAAATAATCAACATCATGAACAACGATCTACCATACTGGCAGACATGGGTCAACCAAGTCAAGCACCCTGACCACCCGATCCTGTTAGTCGCCTCTTTGACAAGCATGGGTTGAAGATCACTTCAAACCCAGATCTTCACAGGTTCATAAGCACCTGAACTTAGGAGACAGTTTGTAGGATTGACAGAGCTAAAATCAATCCACTCCATCCAAATTCTGATAGTGATAGCACTGAGCATTGATTGAGGAACAAGACTTACGTAAAGTAGCATGCTCTCTTAGGACAGACAAAATGTTAGACTAGTCATAACAGTAGAACTATTAAAGAGCAAAGTGCTATCCATGTTAGGAGTCAACTAGAAATACAAAAAACATATCTATTACACCAACTTTGTCATAGTGCAATGATCGATCTATGAAAATGAGAAAAGTCTCAACTACTGGAGTCTTTCATGGATAGTTTTTCATGAATGAGGGAGTGAGTTTAGTTTTACGCTGCACTCAGCAATATTCCAGCTCTATGGAGGCATTCTGTAAATAATCGAGTCTGGTCCAGACAATCCAGTGATCAACAGCATGAGCATCAATCTACGTAGTTGGGATACCATGGCATGTGTCAACCAAGTCAGTGAGACTGACCAGTCAATCCCATTAGTTGTCGCTACGACAAGCATGGGTTACTGAAGACAAATTCTAACCTGGATCTTCATGGGTTTATGGCTTTAGTGACAAACTATACCTAAGAATAAGACGATTTACAAAGCATTCTCCGTTTACATCTCGGATTACAAAAGAATCCAACTAAACTAGTTTAAATTCAAAGTTTAGAGTAATCTACTTCAAGAATATTAATGTGTAATTCAAACAAAAGTGGAGCAAAGTCTATTATATGTAGACACTAAGACTCAAACTTCCACAGAGCCTGTTTCCATCATGACGCTAATACTTACCAAGGTGTTTGCTCACTTGTGATATTACAACTGACAAGTAACCCAGTTCAAAACACATTTCACGTGAAACGCTACCATGTTGCTATAAATGCATATACCACAAATACTTTCATAACGGTACTCCAGGTGATAGGATCTTCTTCTAGACATACCATAAAGATTTCTTACGACAACTTTGCTTATGAACATAGAGAATTTTCTGTTCTTTAGTTCTACCTGATGATGGGCAAGAACAAGCCCTGAAAACATTGGACCAAACAATAACAAGAAGATGATACCCAGAAAATTCTGTATGTTCATCAAAAGCATCTTCTAAAATGCCCATGAAACAATTTTGCTTATATTTAAATATATTTCTTATTCAAATTTGCACACTTTTTGCAGTGAGTGAGTTTAGTTTTACTTTTACTCTCGCACTCAACAATATTCCAGCTATATGGAGGCGGGCTGTAAATAATCAAGTCTGGATCAGACAATCCAGTGATCACCAGCATAAGCATCATTCTACGCAGTTAGGATACAATGACATGTGTCAACCAGGTCAGTGAGCCTGACTACCCGATCCTGTTAGTCACCTCTTATGACAAGCATGGAATACTGAAGATTGATTCTAACCTGGATCTACACGGGTGCACACATTTGGAGGTGAACTGATTGACAAACTTGTTTCAAATTTTCACCTAAAATATTCGAAACAAATAAACAGGGAAGACGATACAAAGCCCATTTATCTGGTATAGTTGATGTTTTGAGGTACAGGAAAGTCATCTTACCTCATAGATGAAACTTCAGTCCGGTTGTAATATTCGCTCATGTTACTGCTTTTCATGACTTGATCAACCTGAAATGTAGATCTTGTTATAAGCGTTGAAATGGACGATCATGGTTTATACCTATTTTAGCTACCTTCACATGACATCAAAAGAAAATATTCACGTCCATATGGCTGCAGGGTGCAAAGACAACAGCAATATTCCACCCATACTACTGCAGGGTGTAATGTTAACAATATTCCACCCATATGACTGCAGGGTGAAATGTTAACAACAATATTCCACCCATATGACTGCAGGGTGAAATGTTAACAACAATATTCCACCCATATGACTGCAGGGTGAAATGTTAACAACAATATTCCACCCATATGACAGCAGGGTGTAATGTTAACAACAATATTCCACCCATATGACTGCAGGGTGAAATGTTAACAACAATATTCCACTCATATGACTGCAGGGTGAAATGTTAACAACAATATTCCACCCATATGACTGCAGGGTGAAATGTTAACAATATTCCACCCCATATGACTGCAGGGTGAAATGTTAACAACAATATTCCACCCATATGACAGCAGGGTGTAATGTTAACAACAATATTCCACCCATATGACTGCAGGGTGAAATGTTAACAACAATATTCCACTCATATGACTGCAGGGTGAAATGTTAACAACAATATTCCACCCATATGACTGCAGGGTGAAATGTTAACAACAATATTCCACCCATATGACAGCAGGGTGAAATGTTAACAATATTCCACCAATATGACAGCAGGGTGAAATGTTAACAATATTCCACCCATATGACAGCAGAGTGTAATGTTAACAACAATATTCCACCCATATGACAGCAGGGTGTAATGTTAACAACAATATTCCACCCATATGACAGCAGGGTGTAATGACAACAGCACTATTCACCAAAGACACTGACCTGGGCGACAACTTTAGCCGACATGTTCTGGTATTCCTCACTGGTGTTGTCGCTCAGTGCGTTGTTCCACACCTGGTTGGCCACTGTCAGTGACGCATTGTAATCAGGTACTGTAACAAATTTCAAACATTGTCAGCATGATCACTGATCTACACAATTGGGACACGATGACATGTGTCAACCATGTCTGTTAGTTGCCTCTTACGACAAGCATGGGTTACTGAAGATCAAATTCTAACCCAGTCATATGAAGCAGGACAGAGTTTGAAAGCGACAACCTCTGCTTATTTCATTGCAGTTTGTACATATGATACTCACTGACTTCCTGCTCAGGAGGTGGGGTTGTAGTTGGAGCTGCTGTTGTAGTTGTGGTTGGAGCTGCTGTTGTAGTTGTTGCTGCTGCTTGTGATGTTGCCGCAGCTGCTTGTGTTGTTGTTGCTGCTTGGGTGGTCGTTGCTGTTGCTGCTTGTGTTGTTGTTGCCGCATGGCTGCTTGTGTTGTTGTTGCTGCAGCTTGTGTTGTTGTTGCTGCTGCTTGTGTGTGTGGTTGCTGCGGCCTGTGTTGTTGCCACTGCTGCTTGTGTTGTGGTTGCTGCTGCTTGTGTGGTGGTTGCTGCGGCTTGTGTGGTGGTTGCTGCGGCTTGTGTGGTGGTTGCTGCGGCTTGTGTGGTGGTTGCTGCTGCTTGTGTGGTGGTTGCTGCCGCTTGTGTTGTTGCCACTGCTCCTTGTGTGGTGGCTGCTGCTGCTTGTGTTGTGGTTAAGCTGCGGCTTGTGTCGTTGTTGCTGCTTGTGTGGTGGTTGCTGCTGCTTGTGTTGTTGCTGCTGCTTGTGTGGTGGTTGCTGCGGCTTGTGTTGTTGCTGCGGCTTGTGTGGTGGTTGCTGCTGCTTGTGTGGTGGTTGCTGCTGCTTGTGTGGTGGTTGCTGCGGCTTGTGTGGTGGTTGCTGCGGCTTGTGTGGTGGTTGCTGCGGCTTGTGTTGTTGTTGCTGCTGCTTGTGTGGTGGTTGCTGCTGCTTGTGTGGTGGTTGCTGCTGCTTGTGTGGTGGTTGCTGCGGCTTGTGTGGTGGTTGCTGCGGCTTGTGTGGTGGTTGCTGCTGCTTGTGTGGTGGTTGCTGCGGCTTGTGTTGTTGTTGCCACTGCTGCTTGTGTGGTTGTTGTAGTTGGTGTGGTTGTAGTTGATGTTGTAGTTGGTGTGGTTGTGGTTGTAGTGGTTGTTGTTGTAGTGGTTGTAGTTGTAGTGACAACAACTGTTTCTATATTTGAGCTGTCAAAAGTTGGACCAGTGTTGATGTTGTTTCTTGCTCTTTCTTTGGCCCTCTCTACAAAGGCTTCAACCACCATTGTCTGGAACGTCTGTGGGTTGGACTTATAGCTGGCTACCAGCTGTTTCAGCGCAGGACTTGTCTCCGCAGTCTCTAGCATGAAGAACACTTGGACCAGAGCTATCACACTCCCAGGTCTGTAACATACAGGGACAAAGAAAATAATAGTAATGATGATAATATTAACAAATAGTTTTCAGTAAACTGTGTGTGATGGCAACAGCGCTGTAGCAGACCTGGATATATAGTTACGAGTCATCAGCACCACTAAGGCTATTGAAATATTTACTAGTGAGTGAGTGAGTTTAGTTTCACTCCGCGACTCAGCAATATTCCAGCTGTATGACGGCAGGCTGTAAACAATCAAGTCAAGACCAGACAGTCCAGTGATCAACATCATGAAAATCGATCTAATGAAGTTAGGAACCGGATGACATGTGTCAACCAAGTCAGCGAGCTGACCACCTCGATCCCCGGCCGCCTCCAATCACAAGCATGGATTACTGAAGATCAATTCTAACCTAGATCTTCACAGGTTAAAATATTACTGGATAACATATGTTATATTTTAGGGTGTGGGTTCGAATCGGACGGACTTAACTCAACAAAAGTACTAGAATCTGTACTTTACAAAGAAAGTGTAATCCTAAATATAACATATGTTACATTTGACCACTCAATGGCATTTTGTAACCATGGATAATAATGGACCTTTCCAGATATGAAACAAAGAGTTGAATTTAATAAAAACAAGTAGTTAAATTTCAACTTTTCGAAAACAGAAAGAATGAATGTATTGTTGTATAACATTTTTAAAATATACAACAGTTAAATTTCCTTTCCTGGGAAGTCCTAAGTCAACAGTCATGACATGACGGA